TCGAACGATCCGGTTATTCGACGGGACCGTTCATCGTTCGGGCGAATCATCGTTCAGCCGAGAAACCCGTATTCAGAAAATCGTGCGCGTGGATTAGCGACGGAAAGAACCTGTGGTGTCGGCCGTTCGAAATCCAATTACCGTTCGAGCGTACGGCGGATTCCAACGCGACGGCCTGGTTCTTTATTTTCCGGTCGACTCTGTTCGGCCGCAGCCTCCGCGCGTTGAATTAATCGACGCGGCCAATTACCAGCTGATAAATCGCGCGAAGCTGAGTGTCCGTTTGAAAGTAAAACTGTCGCAGTGAGTACTGAGAGGGCGAGTGACTTATCAAATAAATCATTCACAGATCAACGATTAGAGCGACTCTATTTTCAGTGTCAGAACACTCGATTGGTTCCACATTTTAATATAAAATAATTATTAAACATTGCTATAGTCTATCTATATGATACATCTATATTATCACAATCTTGTAATTAAAATCATTATCAATCTACAATGGAAATTCAAGTGATCACAGTGGAATGGTTCATTAGATCTTATATTATAGAGTTCACTAGTTTGACAAATTAACACTAAAGTTACTCTGTTAAAATCACTCATTCCTAATTTCTTCTTCTAATTATTAAAAAGATAGCTGTTTCTCTGAGCAATTATCGAAGAAATGGATTTAGCAAAACGCAAACTGAATTGTGAATCAATGAAAGTCCAAGTGGATGCAATCTTGGAATTTCCATAGGGGAATTTGAAGAAGTTAATTTAACTGCTCGGTAGCTTTAGTGTTAACAGCTCATATATCGCACGCGAATGACCGTTTCGGCAACGAACAAGGTAGCCGGACATATTGTCCCGCAGAGACACAAGTGGTCGCGGGCCACCCCGTGTCCAGGGACTTATTTGCCTACCTGCTCCGCAGGGAGAGAATCACGAGGTGATTATCAATTAGCGGTAATTAATGCGGGTCCCGAGCCACCGGATCGAGCGGCCGGGGATCGGCCGTGACATCACTTCCTGACGTCTTTCCAGCCGCCTCCAGACACGATTCCGGCCGATTCGCCACGGCCGCGAACCGAATAGGCATCACTAATTAGCGATCCATAATCCTGACGCTTCTTCCGCTGTGTCGGGCCTTGTACAAATTAGAAAGAATTTGTTCCATACGTGTCGGCCCCGTATATCTGATCAGGAATCAAATAGAAGTCCATTCGCTGCGGCAAGGACTCGCGTTCCGAATGGAATCGAACCTTCGCGAAGCTTCGTTGGACCTTCTACTTACCGCCCTTGGCGATCTTGTGCTCCACGCACGGAGGAGATCGATGGAATAGCTCACACTTTAAGTTTCTATCATATTCGAACAAAAATTCAACGATTATCCTCCGAAATTAACTCAATCTTTGTATCAACTAAAATCAAAACCCTTCGCACTCCAAGAGTTTTCCACCAAAAATACCCAACACACTTTCCGATGAGATATAGTTAACATTTTTCGAAACTTAACGAGAAATCGTACATAAATTAAAGAAAGATGTTTTATTTTAATACTTTACATATTAATGCATCATACGAAACTTCATATTAAATATTACACTTCATAATTTTTCTGTACTAAATCGAGTGGCGACTGAAAGGCGCCTATGGAGTTGAAAGGGTTAAACCAACGGCACCGTTCGATTTCCGATTTATATTCACGTATTTTCTATTTTCCCGATACAATATAGTCGATTATCCTTGTACAACAATAAATCAAGTTCTCTTTCTCTCCGCTAAGTATAAAATCAAGCTGACCGATCTCTAAAGAGGATTTTTCTGTAGCGCGTTTTCCATTGGGGAGGGGGAGAGATTCGTGTCCGTTTCATCCGGGAGAAACGGACGCGCGCGTGTGAAACCCAGCAGAGAGATCCATCCGATGGGAATAGACGATTCGTGTTCCGCGCGCGGCCCCCCTTTATTTCGCCTCGTTATCCTCGCCGGGAAGACAGGTGAAGCTCTTGTCCGGCGCGCCAGGTGGGTGCGCGATGAAATCTCACTTTCGCCGATCTATGTACAAGCGGGACAGGCTCGGCGCGAACTTTACGAACGTAGATCCCCGTGTATTACGTCGCGGCTGAACTTACAACGCGCGGGCTCTGGATCGTGTCTGAGGCGTGTCCGAGCGAACTACGGCGAACGGAAACCGGCCGTTGCCGATACATCGCTCCAACGGGACAGAGTTGGGCAACGTGTAATCTGATTATGTGTGAAAATGAATTTTTTTATTCGACCATAAGCTGTTAACGCGATTATTAACACTACCGGTACTTTTGCTGTCGTAACTAGTCAAAGTGGCTGCGAAATAAAGATCGACAAATTAGATGGTAAATTGTTTCTAGTGGAAACAGAAACAAAAGATGGAAATTGAAGAACCAATTAATCGGACTATATAGGAATTGATATAAAATTGAACGGATAAAACGCAGATTCTTAGATCTGCTCATTTGTACGTAGTATTAACTAGGATTCACGGTGATCGTTCCGCATTTGATTGTGGATTATTAATAATCTAGGTTTTAATAATGTAGATATACTGTACTGGGTGTAGATAGATTTGTTGCAATGAAAAGTATTGCCGTTCACATTTTAATCGTGTCAGCAATGGGCAATCGGATTACAGTTCCCCGAACTGCGCCACGAGAACAAGAAAATTAGGGTCTCAAAGGGGTAGAACGTTGTGTCGTTGTCGGAACCGTTCCCTATTCGCGGCGCGTCGTCGAAACAGCGAAAACAGAACGGCACGTACCGAGAAATTTAATAAAAGCCCGTGTTTCCCGGGAAAATAGGTCGGCCGATGGAAAGGATCGCGTCGCGAATAACGCAGGGGAGTCTTACCGGTCGACGTTCACGTCGGAACCGTTCGAACCGTATCTGAAATTTGCCTCTCCTTCACCTTCGCTTAGCTGCTCCGTAGCGTCGCCCTGTTATTCCATTGCGTTTCGCGTGGTATCGCGGTCGCCTTGCCAGAAAGCTCGGAAATTTCTTTGGCAGCCGTCTCCTAAGCAATTTCGTTCGAAAGATTCGAGCGCGATCGCGCGTCATCCCCTATCGCTCGAATCGCGAGCATTCTTTTCATGCGTCGATTTATAAAATTAGAAGCCGAGAATGCTTGGAGTTATCCGCAACTAAATCTTCCGACACTGTACTACCAGCACAGTTGAATTACAATATAAAGAGTCGAGCACATAAACTTTTATCCTCAAACAATACCCCCAACGTATTATCATAGATTCGCATCTGTTGCAACGCCGCGAATCGCGCAACAATCAATTTCTCTCTTTCCCCATAACTTTCGAACCACATTCCAGCCTACTTTAGTCACAGTCTTAATCTCCTTCAAACAACAATACACTTTCCAAATCAATCCAGCCGCAAACGTTCATCCGCACCGCATAAATAATCCACTCGCGACGCCTCCCAATTACCACGCAATGAAACCGACGCGACGGCAATAACAATAATTTAGACATTATCTGCGAACGTCGCAAAGTGTGTAATGTCTTCGACCCACGGTTTCAATGAACCTCCGTCTTTACGATTCCTTGGTGTACGTATTAACGACTGTATAAGAAGGGGGCCAGAGAGAACGAGTGCCTAAGTCATAGACTGCGGCTTGATTTAAGCGAGTACTATAACCTATTCAACGGAGCTCGCGTATAATACAGGTGCTAACGACTATTTACGAGGGCCCCGGAGTTTGATCGCTGCGGCGAGATGTCCGGGGGAAGGAATGCGAGACGGAGGAGATCCGCCATAAAACCGCCCGGCCATCCGATCGCGGTTGCGGCCAGCGAAACGCTCACCGGCCAGACTGCCGTCGTGTCCGTCCATTCTTTTTTACACGCGCCTTTCATCTTTCTCCGGGCGAACCGAGGGACCGGCGAGCCGAACGGCCACGCACACGCCTACCGAACACTATTTTGTTACGAGGATCACGTCCGCGGTGTTCGCGCAACAGCTTACATACGTGCCCAGCCGCGAATCGATCGCGGGCTCTCCGTTCTCCAAGGGTTAATTGTTTCGCACGGTGCACGTACCGAGCGTTGCTCCTGAGTAGCTGGTCTCCGCAAGGATTGCGGGTTTGGTTGGTCAAGTTTTACCTTGTTTTCGATGCTAATTCGCTAGTCATCGATACGCTTACACTTAGCTAATCGAAACTGTAGTGGGACTTCGATTAGATTAACGTCTATTGGTTTAGGGTATAGTTTCGGTTAACCTCGGTAATTAAGAAACTTAAGTTTGGGATTTATGTAATCGAATTTTACAGATATCGTAGAGTTTCTTTTTGAGACTATTTCCGTGGATTCACTAGTAGTTCGATAGTAATGCTACGAAGATCATCTTCCAAGCAATGATGCGAGCGTCTTCCACCAGCGGAGACCGAAATGGCCGGGTTACCAGAGTTATCAGAGACAATTAGGCGATCGTGTATGTCCTACCTGCGCGTACACGAGTGTCCACGCCATTCAGCTGTTAAGCAATCCGTTTCGGTCGCGGACAAGAATTTGCCCTACGGCGATACAGGGCTGCGACGCGACTGGATCGCGCGGTCGTCTTGTGTGGCGCGGGATGGTAGACGCGCAGCTTGTGTTTAACATCGTCGTGATTGCACCGGGGCTTTTTACGCATCCGCTTTCCTTGGATGATTTGTATTCGAGATACCTTGAGTAAGTGGACAGCGATTAACGAACGTGACAAATGTAAAATTGAATTTCCAACGGAACGAACGACTATCTTTAACGTTAACGATCAAAGGAGGTCCCCTAAGAAAAATGGAGAGGAATCGATAGATTATAGACACTTCAATTATGGACGACCGATTAGACCGTCGAAGACGTCGATTCCGCGATCTGCGCACCGGTTCCACAGATTACGGTCCACGTCGGAAGACTTTATCGCGAGCTCTCTCCGATCAACGTCGTCGGCAAACGTTCGTTAACGCGTTCGACACGCCTCGCTTGTTACAGCGGCAGCAGCAGCCATGATATGACACTCGATTGAGAGGAAGAGAGCCTGCAACCGACGACCATCATCCCACCATGAGGAAGTTACTACAGTTTTTGGCGTTGCTATTGTTGAGTGTCAATGCCAGGCGTACGGACGCGGGCGTTCCTGCGGACGACACGTACGGCGGTGGCGGCGGTCAGCGTCGCGGTGGTTCCCTTCACAAGCCTAATTACAACGGGAACAACAATTACAACTCGCAGTCGAACAACTCGCCGTATCTGCCCTATCAGCAGCCCAGAGAAAGGAAGCCGAACATCGTGCTGATATTGACGGACGATCAGGACGTCGAATTGGGTCGGTACCTTTATCTTCCCCTTTGCCTCTTTCGCCTCGACAGGGGACTCTCGAATCATTACGAAGATTAGAGGGTTAGCGCGAGGGTAGTCTGAAAAGTTGCTCAATAACGAAAACATACGTTTACTTTTAAATTACCTTGACATTTCAATGATGCTCCCCTTTAAGTCTATTACAATTCATCCAACGGTACTCGCTGCAAGTTACATCGATGACATTTGATTGTTACTTCAGCTTTTCCTTATATAGATTAGGTCGCGAACTTTTCAAACCACCTTCATCTATCGGTTACCGATAGTGAAACCCGAAAAGGGATCTATAGGAAGGAAAAAGAGAAAAGGGAAAATTGAATTCCGCGGTGAACGGGCTGGCCCAGTGTGGCCCCCTTTTCTTCGAACGAGTAATCTCCTCCACGGCGGAGAGCGAGAGAGGACCCCTCTATCTATCTTCGAATCCGATCCGAGAGTTCTTTTTCGGGCTGCGCCCGTCGTTGGTCCAGGCCTTTTGATCGTCTGTTGCGGTTGGTCCGATCCCCCAGGTTCGCTGAACTTCATGCCGCGGACCCTGAGGCGGATAAGGGACGAGGGAGCCGAGCTGAGACACGCATACGTGACCACTCCCATGTGTTGCCCGAGCAGGAGCTCGTTGCTGACCGGCCGTTACGTTCACAATCACGAGGTCTTCACGAACAGCGACAACTGCAGCAGCCCCCAGTGGCAACGGGACTACGAGCCCCACTCGTTCGCCACTTACCTGAGCAACGCGGGATATCGCACCGGTGAGTACTCTCTCGCCGATCAACGATCCCTTTTCACCTTTCTCGATGACAGCCCCTCCTCACCCACCGCACCAACTCCTGCTCTTTCGCCCCCTTTTTCAGCATGTCTGCTCGGCAGAGGGACGGCGAGCGACACGCGCCCATTTTTTATGTATCCTAGCGCCGTTTAATGGGACGATCCGAGGAATTTGGAATCCTGCTTCCACGCCGTAGAAAGATTCGTATAGCTAACCCATTGATTGACAGGATTCGATTGAAGAAATATTTTCTCGAGCATATTCATTAATTAAAGGAAACTAGAATATTCTGAATTTTTGGAAGTTTCAAAAATCTATAAGGTTATTCAAATTTATTTTTGCTCATGGGAAATTCATGTAGATGGAATTAGATTCTTTCGGTTGGAAGCAGCGATGTCCTTCCATACCTTCTACTGATAAGTAAGTGATTATCAAATTAAATGAACAGGGTAGTTTCTCCGTTAAAACGCAAGAGCGAGCAGATCCAAAGAGGAAATATCTCGAGTGATTTCGAGGCACGATTACGCGAAGTCACAGAAAAATGGGCGTGTGCGTTACCGGACGTCCCTCGTTAGCAGACGAGTCGGAAAGAAGTCACGCGACCATCGGCATCCCGGCACGAGCGTCGGTCCGTGGCGGAATCGTTGCGACATTATCCACGATTATCAACGAGCCGATAATTTAGACAATTTGTAGCTGTCGACGGAGACCGTTTGGCCTGCCTCGGGATTCCCTGCTAGGGAGGGACGGGGGTGGATTATTTATTGCGACGGGTTCTTCGTTAGCGGTCGCTCATTGCGACTTAATGATCCCGTAGTCGAAGGAATTTGCCATTTGTCTGGCAGGAGAGCCGGGGGCGGAAGGGGGCCGCGGTTCTCCGGCATGGTACGCCACTGTACGCTCGCTGACCTCCGACATCCGCGATTCACCAGAATGAACGGCAGAGGGAGAAAGAAAATCTGGCCACCTTCAATTGAGCCGAGGTTTCTATTTATTTCTCGGCGAGCGCAACGGACTCGCCGCGGGTAATTGGAGTCAAGTACGTTCGACACGATAAATCCTCGTTGCATAAGCAATTACCGTGGAAACGGCTGATTCGCGGACTGGCGATTTTTCAATGACGCGTACAGATGCTTCGCGGGATTCAGGTTGGACGAGCGAATTCACCACGGGCGATTGGCCTATATAATAATTCTTCATTGGGGAGAAAATGGGGCGAGGAACAATGGTGAGGGTGATGGACGAGTAGCATGAATTGCACTGTCGTGTTTCCATCAGTTCGGCTGATGCGACGAATCTTCGGTGTTCATCGAGTTAACCCTCCGCGGACGAAGATTCTTTTAACCATTCGAAACCTTCGTCGCGAAACGCTGTGTTAAATTATTAGTACTAGAGAAGAAGATTATGTGCTACATTTTTGGTATTAACTAAATTGTTTGTAATTTCCTATTCTGGATAGAATAGAATTCTAAATATTCTAAACGTTCTAAACATTCTAAACATACTAAATACTCTAAACATTCTAAGTATCCTTAATATTCTAAATATTCTAAAATTCAAAATTTCGGTTCTCGATGTTCGAAAACACACCTACCAACTCTCCAATTTTCAACAGTTGGTATTCAGGCAATTGCGAATGCGTTAATAGAGACGAGACATCGACGGAGGAAATTTCTTCCTCCGATTGTTCAGCTGCGTTTCGTGATCCATCCGTGCGGCACGCGGCGCCGCCAACGGTTGCGTCCCCGCCGCGTAAACATCGATGTAAAAACGGTCGGCGCAAACGGTGACGGAATACGAACCGAGCCGGGTTGCAATTAGAAAATCCCGGGTCGTGTCGGTCCGCGGACACCGGTGGCTACTCGAGCGTGTTTTATCATCCTGGCCGTGATTCTTGTTCCGCGGCCCGTAATTACGCGCCGACCGGGACACTCGAGTCCCAATACGGGAATGGATTCCACGGTGTTCGATTTCTTCGTCCCGCGGTCGCTGGCTCTCCGCCTTGCCCTGTCACGGTTATCGCAGCGAATCTTGCTCGTAGAAGCCGAGAAAAGCTCCGCGCGCGACTAAAAAGCGACCGCCAGCAGCTCGTTCTAGACGAATCATCAAGAGCAATAATTCAGGAAACGTCAGCGAATCGGGCACGGATGAATTGTGCCAATTGGTTGCTCGATTCTTGTTTGCATTGTTCGATACAAACAGAAAACTTGTCGGGGTCTCGACTAAAGTGGATCGTGTGCGTTGTGCAGCTGCTGGCGAAATTTCAGGGATGGACGATAGAATTTTCAATTGGATACTTAAGTGAGATTCACTTTTATTCTAACGATCTTCAGAACTTTATGAAGCCCTTCCGTTTTATGGTTCATATAGCATACATTTTCCGCAGTACATTAAACAACGATGATATCGATCCTAGTTTTTAGAATACAAAGCTTCGAACAGCTCCCTCGAATTTCATCTCGGACGATTGTTCTTCGCAAGATATTCACCGAGAACTTCCAGCTAGGAACATTGTAGTCCAGGGATTTAGGTTTCTCGACCCCTGCCTCTGACGAGACCCGCGAAATAGGGGGCTGCCTGATTGAAGCTTCTTTCATCCCTTTGAACTTTCCTCCTTGGACGGGCGTAACCCGGATAGCCTACTTTGCGGAACACTTACCGCCGAATCTCCGGACTTATCTCCGAATTACCTTCAGAATTACACCGCTGTTACGAGTCCATTATAAGAAATTACGTTCCGGGGCCGGCCGTTTCGTATATACGTTTAGCGAGTGATTTAACGACCAATCTAGCTAGACCTGTGTAGGCGATAAGGATTCATTGCTCCTGAGTAATCACGACCGTCTGTGTTGCCCGGCGCTTTTATAGTCCTTACGATTTGATTTGTTACCTAATTTATCTTGATGAAACTTTGGTATTCTAATATCCATTCTTTACTCTGTGTAACGTCTCATTCTACCCTTACGTTTATTACACCACCCACGATCATTCTAAACGCCACGAGATTGCAATAAGCGATCAAATCAACGTGCCAGCTAAATATTCAACCGTTAAGAACCAACAACGCCTCCCGAACATCGAGGCGCAAAGATCTTTCTCCGAACAGTGACCCACTGTCGTCACTTTCTCCAGATTTTTCTCTCGCCAACAGAAAAAGACGATCGCCTTACGTAAAACCGGCGTCGCGACAGCGTGCTGTCGTCTCCGAAAGGTCTAGCGAGGTGTGACAACGCGCGGCAACAGGCACTCGTAAATTAGAACCGAGCTGCCCCGTATCTCGGGGCAGCGCGCGGATCCGCGCGAGCTATCTCTCGCTCCGCGAGATTATTCGTGAAAGCGGTGCCCCGGTGCATTCGAATTCCCAGCGCGACATCGGTCGTCGATCACCCGGGAAGCGGCGGGGAAGGGAGGACAACGGTGGAAGGTAGGGTACATAAGAAAAGAGATCACGACCGGCGGAGGAACGCGACGCGGAGACAAAAATCTTCTCACGATCGTGACAGTTCGACCCTTCGACGGGCAGAAGGAGAGACAGGCTCCCGTTGGGGGCCCTTCGGAGGCGCTCTCCTCTCGCATTCCCTTTAACCCGCGTCCTCTCCTTGTCCGTACGTGTCTTTCTCTCCCCGTTGTCCGTACGTCTGCAGCTTCTCTCTACGTACGACCATATTCGACGTGGAGAGGCAGGACGTTGCTCCCTGAAAGCGGCCTGGCTCCTCGGCCTTAAAGCCACGTCCACACATCCGGCACGGGATTGGCCGGTTTCCAAAAAATTTATGAGCACACGGCGTACGCGTAATCGACCCGCGGAAACTTCCGTGAAACCGATCGGTCGAGAGGCTAACCCGGTGCACAGTGGGGCGCCTAACTTCAGATAAGACGGTTAACTGGCCTGGGGAATCCCGTATCGCGCGAACTAAGGATTAACGAGGTTAACGCAGGATCTCAAAGACACTTATCACCTTATCGAATCTTGTATAACTTCGGTTTCACTTATAGCTCTCGTACAGCTGATAGCGAAGAATCAATGCGAACATTGATTATAAGTAGCTTTTCTAGTTCTACAGCATTTTCCATAGCAGCAAGGACACGTTCGATGAATATTCCGTCCCGAGCGTAAAAAGATGTTTCCCCTCGAGTGTACTCGAAGAAAAAGCGTGATAATTAATCAATTCGCCCGTGAGTGATTCGCTACCGGACAGCAGCGATCCTTCTTGGTTGAAGCGAGTTCGAATTACCGTGGAGGCATTAAACAAACCTTCGATCCGGTTCTCCGAGCCTCTCGCGTCTCGTCAGAGCGAAGAACCTGTTATTTTCCCCGGCGTGTCGGTTTTGTCGCGCGCAATTCGGCCGGGCGCGGCGCGCGGGACAATTACAATCGAAACGATTCGCCCGGCCTGTGCCCGCCGCGAGTCAAGTAGTCGTTCGCGGATAATTGTACCGATCCGTGAACCGCGGCGCGGCCGCGCGGAACGCCGCGGAGAGAAAGAGAACTGGTTTCGTTATCGTCGTCTGTTGTACGCGGAGAGTGTCCCTGACCAGAATACCGGGGCTGGCAGGCCGGGCGACAAATTTTCTTCGCTATCTTCGCAAGAGGATCTTGTCACGCGCCGCATACGTTAGGCGGTCCGGCCTCACCTTTAAGCCGCGCTCGCGACCCCAGCTCACTCGCGAAACTAGACCTGAATTCAACGATGCTAATTAGGTACGAGAGAAACTAGTTCCCCGGGGCTGCGAGGCGATCGGTGTTCGGGGTGCACGCGCGTGAATCTTGCCAGCCGATATGAAACGTGCCCGTGGCGGCTGGGTGTTGCGCCCGGTTTAACCTGGATCTTTTTACGATTGAACGCGGCGCGCACGCCGATCGGGACACCGAGCGGTCCCCTTTTTTGCCGTCCGCCCGCGGAGATTGCGTTACTGCCCTCCTTAATTAACCCCTCGCCCTGTAATATACAGACACTGACTCGAGATGGAGATTTCGGGGTA